CCGCCATCGTTCTGGAGATGCGTGGTGGGCAAAGCCCGTTCAGTTGGTAAAGCACGCTCCAGAGACTGATCTTCTCACTCCTTTCCTTGTCTAGTGAGACGCCTTTGGCCGTGAGGAGTACATTGCTTCCCAGATGTTAGACTTTTGTGCTAATAATGCCCATCGATCAGTAGAACAGTGGCAAATGCTGTTGATTATTTTTTTAAAAGATGCTTTGTGTCGTAACATGTTTGAGACAAGAGTTTACCTGTTGGGAGTCTAAAAGAAATGAAAGGAAATAAAATCAGAAAAGTACATCTGAAGGAGGCAACTCAGTCGCCATGGCCCGGTGTAGGCTGCAGCTCTTGCTCCTGATAGCAGCGGCCCTGTCTCCCCCTGAGCCCATCCTGTGCTCCCATTCTTTCTTTCTTTCATACTGGGGATCAAACTCCGGACCTTGCGCTTAGTGAGGAAGGAGGCGGAACCACTGAGCGAAATCCCCGGCCCCTATTGATGATTTTCTACTGCTCCTACATAACGTTGCATAAATTCACCTCCCCCCCAGAACAGTAGCATGTTACTATCTTCCGGCTGATAGAATTGGGGATTAGCAAGATCTATTACACATATCGGTCCTCATTTACACTTTCAGTTTCTCACACCAAAAATGAGAAAAGAAGGAAAGAATGGAAAATAAGCTTTTGTAAATAGGGAAGGGTGGAAGGGAGGCAGGGAGTGGGAAAAAGCAAGACCCAAGATATATCATGTACAGATACAAATTCCCAATGATGCATGTGATCATAATGTATACTTAAAATGTACCGATAAACTTTAATAACGATAATAATGAGAATACACAATGCGGTTAGCACTTATGGCGCTGTTACACACTTTGATGTTGGAAAGGACGAATCGTGCTGGAACACCGTTGCTTGCAGCTCCCCGGTTGTTGGGATGGGTGGGAAAATGGTAGAATGGAACTGGAAAAAATGAAGGTAAGAAAATGAGGAGGAGGAGAAAAAGGAACGGACCCCCCCTTCTGGGGACAGACTTATGCTGCACTGCTAAATCGCACAAGCTAGAAGACCCTAGAAATAGGTGCAGGGCTCACACAGGGTCCCCTTCCTCTCACTGATTCTCTGGGAAACTCGCAGGCTGCGGCAGGGAGCGCCCTGGCAGTTTGGTATGGCACAGTTGTAGGGAACACTGACCTCAGGTTTTTCTCCTTGGTGGGTGGGAGTTTTCAGTTCTGATTAGGCAACGAACTGAGTTGAAAAGCAGATACATAATGTGGGTTTCAGGTATGTTAGCTGTCACCCTAATCCCTTTGTAATGTTGCCTAGCATTTTGTTTCTTTGTGTGTGGGTCACAACGGTGCTTATGACAAAAGTTCTGTTGGTTCAGCTGTCACAACACTTTTGTGCATGGATCAGTTTACAACAAAATCAAGAGAGACAGTGAACTCAAAAGGGTTAGGCCCAGAGATGTGTGTGATGTGATGAAATGTAGGGTTCAGAAAACAGGCTCACCTTTAAACAGCTTCAGATGTAGAAACACTGCATCTATCCGTAGTATTTATTACATAATAAGGTAGACTGGGCATAACCTGTGACTTGTTTGTGAGGTTTAAAGGAAGAAGAAAAACCTCATTGCATTTAAGGCATCAGAAGGAATGATACATAGCACCACATTCTTTTGCCTTGCGGAAGTGTGTTGGGAATTCATATAAATCTATGGACGGTAGGCAGGTATGGTGGTGCATACCTGTATGCCCAGCCTTTGAGAGGCTGAGGCAGGCAGATTGCTGTGAGTTCAAGGCCTGGACTTGAACTGTGCTTCGAGTTCTGGACTACGTAATGAGACCCTGTCTCAAAAGACCATAAACCAAAGACAAAAACAAAAAAGCCCATCGACGGAGCATGTGGAGGTGCTCGGGTAAGAGGCAGTGTACAGATGCAAGTTGCTCTTCATGAGGAAGTGGCTGTTGTCTGAATTATCTGTGGATGGTAAAGTAGGACATCAGGGGCTTCCTTGTTGGCTGCATTAACCCCTGTGCCCAGCTCAGCCTAGAGGAGGCGCTGGAGGGATCAATGAAATTAAAGTCAGTAAACAGAACGAAACATTTCTTTAGACCAAAGTTACCAGTGGTCTTTAACAGTAGTGAGGTCAGATAAAATCATTGCTAATGTGATGAATACCATCCCATTATGCCTTAGTTGTCGTATTTAAAACTTCCCACGACTGCAGTAGAACTTAGAAGATCAACAGATAATTTCAGTGTTTAGCGGGCTGTTCATCCTCGCCTTGGACTGGAGTTTATTCTTTCTGTTGCTACTTCAGCTATAATTTGGTGACAAACCACTGCTAGGCATCTCGGGACATTTTTAAAGTTCAAAAAAGAAGCACTCTCTGTCCCCCAGCAAAACCGGGGCTGAGGAGATGCACCAGGCCAGGGTTCAGCTCTCCCATGCCCCTCACTGTGGCACCCTTGAGCAGTGAGAAACCTGGATAGCTGTGTACCACATCCCTGTTTCCTCACTGCCCCCTCACGTCAGACACCATGTTGGGCCAACTATATCCTCCATGGTCACTTCTGTCAACGCTCCTGAAAGCCAAACAACATCCCATTTTACAGGTAAGGAAAGTGAGGTCCAGAGAGGTTAGGAACTCACCTGGATAGCAGAGTTAAATAAATGGTGCGATCAGAGTTCATAGCCAGCCAAACAGCCTGGAATTCCTGCTTCAGCTGAAGGGAAGGGAGGAAGATCAAACGGGAGGGGCGGGGTAGAAACAATCTGAAGGATACAAAGTCTGGAGCTGGAAGAAAGTTCTAATGGCAACTGCAGGCTTTAGTGGTGTCTTCTGTGAATGAAGGTTTGAAACAAACGTTTGTTTTCCAGCTTTTCCGCTGGGTTCCTCCGATCTCTCTTCTGAGGAGCTCCTGGCCCCGTGGAGGAAAAGGGTCTGTGTGGCTTTGCTGACCATGCTGGTCACCATGATAGCGACCGGGCCTCACCAGGAATAGGAGCGGGGCAGACATCTGTGATGAGAGCATTGCACGTTTCCTCCTCACCTCCCCAAAGGCAGTTACCACCAGAGCAGCACCGGAGGGAGCTGTCTTGCCGTAACGGGTTGATTGATAGAACGGGAGGGATCACTTTCATTAATTTGCCTCCTCTGCTGCCGATTTGAAGACTTCATCCACGGGGAGGGAGGACGCCCATCTCCCCGGTTCTGCCATGTCGACCCCAAAGCTGACAACCCGTGCCCTGCAGCCTGATCTCGGCCTCTTCGCGCTGCCCTCTACTCTCCGTAGGGTTCATACGGAGGCCAATGTTTCATCTCGCCTATTCCATGTCTTTCCGGCCAGGCTCTGGATGTCCAGCAGCCACCCAGATTTTGCCTCTGGGATGTGCGATCTGCAGTATCTCCAACACGGAGCCCCGCACGGAACCATTCGCGTCTCCCTCCAGGCCAAATCTCCCCTGTCTTCTAGATCAAGCATCCAAGCAACGAAGATGGCCCGAGTCAGTCATTACCCCACCCACTTAACCTCGCCCTCTTCTCTCGGGAGTCTGGTCACGTGGACGTCGGCCCGGAAGTTGCTGTGTGCGTGTTTTTCAGGCTGGGGATTGAGGCCGAGCTCAAAGCGGGCGGAGCACACCTCTGCACTGATCGGACCCTCAGCCCTGAGGGAGACGGCTGTAGCATCTAAATCGGATCGCTTCACTCCCCTGCTCACAATTTGGTTTTCATTTTCCTTTACTTTGTTTTAAATTAAAAATTAGCAGCTTGCAACTATAGATAAGTTGGCGTTTTCTAGTTTATAAAAAAGAAACCACAAGGAATGTGCTCTTCTTTCAGTCAGTACACTGATTTTGAAAATCAAAATGTTGTTGCATTTATCCGTTGTTATATAGTATTCCACCGTGTGGAATACCTCAGGCTATTTACTTATTCATAGGTTGGTGAGTACTAGGTTGTTTCCAGATTTGTGTTGTTACCAAAAGCAGCGGTTCTGAACCTTTGTGTACAAGTCTTTGGACACACGTTATCTCTTCTCCGGGGGAGAGAGGAGCAAAATGGCTGAGCTGTGTGGTGCATGTGTGTGTGTGTGTGTGTGTGTGTGTGTGCGTACGTCGTCTTCCATTTGGGTTTAGGGATTTGTGGCCTCGCACATGGTAAGCGTGTGCACCCCAGCCCTGTGCAACTATATTTATTTTAAAATTTAAAATTTAATTTTTTTATGTTTTGAGACAGGGTCTCCTTATGTAGTCCAGGCTGGCCTGAGACTTGTGGAGATCCCTCTGCCTCAGTCTCCGGAGTGCTAGGGCCACAGAGGTGAGCCACCACGCCTGGCATTTGTTTAACTTTGTAATAAAGCCTCGCAGTTCTTGCTGTTCTTGCCTTCCGCTTACCCTCTCAGCTCGTTAGCGCCACCTACAGGGCCCTCTGCGATCTTGCTCGGCGCGGCCTCTGGCTGCGCTGTCTTTGCAGGACTCCTGGTTCCGTTTGAGTGGTTCTGGAGCTCGCAGAAGCTGGTCCTCAGCACTGCCCCTCTGTGTGTGTGTGTGCGGCTGCCCCAGTGCTTATTCTATGACATTGTTCGCTGGTTTACTACTTCTCATACTTCCACTGACTATGACAGCAGACAGTAGAACCTGTGGCTTCCATCTTTGGGTCTTTGATACAGAAAGGAAAAAAAAAACCCTCAAAACAGCTAAAACAATTAAAATATTTCGGCCTACACAAGGGAAAGTGGACCGGGCATGGGGACACGCCATTAATCCCAGTGCTTGGGAGGCCGAGGCAGGAGGATTGCTCTGAGTTGGAAGCCAGCCTGTGCTATATAAGGAGTACCAGTCCAGCCTGGACTACCTAGTGGGACTCTGTCTCCAGAAAACTCCAAAAAACAAAGAAAGAAGGTGGAAGAGGAGGGGGGAGGAGTAGGAGAAGTCAAGGAGCCTGGGTATTACTTAACTTCTATTGGATCAACAGGTAACTCTTTAAATTATGTGTATATATAACTGGGGTGAGGGAAAGAAAAGAAAAAGAAAAAAGAAAAACACCCTTTGGGGAGAAAAAAGAGGAAAACACTGCAGAGGGACCTGCCGTCACGCTGGTCTAACTCCCGTCTCCTCACCCTCTGTTTGGGATTTTTCCCTGTCTTCTCTCTTCACTCTTCTTCCCTCCCCTCCTGCCTCATTGCTGGGTTCATACTACATATAAAGCTGACAGCTAGCAGACCTTGGCCCATGAACACTTTCTATGCATTACATCATTTGTACAACCTCACCATAACTGTTTTGCTTTTACCTATAATTAATTGTTTTCTTATTTTGGCATATGGTCTTCATGATTTTTTTTTCTTTTGAGGTTGGATCGCACAATTCTCTTTTTTCATGGCACAATAATATTTCACCCAGGGCAGTATCCATCTGTTCCCCAGCTTACTAGGTTTTTGAATTGTTTTCTAACTTTTGCTCTTATAAAGAATACTTGAACCCTAGATTTTTCTCCTGAAGAATTTTTCCAAGGTTCGTGTTTTTAGGATAAATTTCCAGAAGCCCTGTTACGGGGTTGAGTGGTCTCCGCATGCTACCCAGTCGCTGATTGTGAACTGCCTGGATCGCTTTCACAGCCCCAAAGCCGCCTGCAACTCCGAGAGAGACTGGAGATGCGACCGTGCACAAGAGTTCATCATCTCAGCAGCTCCTTCCCGCGGCTCCTTTCCGCGGGGCTCCTCTTCCCACTCCCCGGATCTCTCTCTGTGCCCCCACAGTGCACAGAGCTCCGGCCCTGCCATCCCCGCCGCTGTGCCCCGGTGCCCTCCCCATGCTGGGCTCCCAGTCCTGGGCACTTCTCTCTGCGCGGGGCTGGAAGGAAGGGACACGGGGAGCCTAAGAACCAGGCGCCAGGAAGCCTAGTCGGAGGAAGGGATTCAAGGAAAAGAACCAGAGAAACAAGTGCTGAGCGTGGGAGGGCCCCGGGGTAGTGGAGAAAAGTGCTTCAGAAGAGTGCTTGGGGGACCCTGAAATTGTTCATCTGTACTCTGTTTTGTTGTTTGGTTGGTACCGGGGATCGAACTCAGGACCTTGTGCTGGGAACTTGAAATTGAAGGCGGGGGCTTTGGGCTGAAGACAGGAAAGGCTTAGACTTGGACAGAGGGGGTCCTGCTATGTCTTAAGTGTTGAATCCATCTCTTGATTCTAAGTCACTGTCTCAAGACAAAGACTAAACAGTTTGTTTTTATTTTCTCTTTTTCAAATGAATGATCGAAAAGCAACTTCCAACGAATGCTTTTCTACTGTAGAAGAAAGCGAGTCCTGCATCGCCCAACCCAAACCATGCACAGCGGGCAGAGAGTCTGCTTTCTGCGGCCATGCACAGAGAGGGAGCCTCCCCGCATCAGAGAAGCCCAAGGCCTCAGTGATGCCCACGGCTAATGGGCTCGGAGCCGGCCGTCCACAGCCGCTGGTGCAGGATGTCGAGCCCACAAAGGCTGCTGGAGACGAGTTAGGACCCACGGAAAAGACCCAGCCTCCAGGGGAGCCAGAGGAAGCTGAGCCACCTCAGCCAGGAGGCAGAGAGGACACCCCAGGAACAGAAGAAATGAAAGATGTGGAAACAGCGCTGGAGGTTCAGTCTTTAAAAGGGAATGCTGAGACGGAACTTTCAGGGACAGCAGCCCCCGGACAGCTGCTGGGGACAGCAGGCGTGGGGGACTCCCTGGGAGCAGGGGAAGGGACTGAGCGCCCCCAAACACAAAGCCCTCTGAGGACAGCGGAGAACGGCCTACCTCTGGAAACAGCTGGAGAACTACAGTCTCAGGGGACAGTGGGAGAAGAGAAACAATCCCAGTTTCTAGAAACAACTCCCAAGGAGAACAGATCTCCAGAAATATCAGAAGGGAGTCAGTTGGTGGGGACCGTTGAAGAGCAGCAACTTCAAGAAGTGATAGGGAAAGATGAGGAGGCGCAGCCCCAGCCCCTAGAAACAATTCCCAAAGAGAATGAACCGCCAGAAATACCGGAAGGAAGTCAGTTCGCAGAAACTGTTGAAGAGCGGAAGCTTCAAGAAACAGTAGAAAAAGATGCCCAGCTTTGGCCTCAAGAGGCAATTCCCAAAGAGGGTGGAACGCCGGAACTACAGGACAAGCGTCAGCCTGTGCTAACTTCAGTAATGAATGATCCGATCCACCCAACTCCTCAAGGGCCCGGGATCCCGGAGCAGGTTCCACCTAAAGGAGTAGGTGCAGGCAGGGAGCATCCAGTGGGAGAGGCAGAGACAGCAGCCTATGCGGAGGGGGACAGGAAAAGTCGCCCTAGTGAAGAGGAGCAGTGCACTGAAGGTAAACAGTGTCTGTGAGAGGTTCAGCCTCCCGTCTAGATGTCCTCCACGGAGATCTCCTCCAGGGGAATGAAGCTCATTTGATGCAAACCAAAAAGGTGTCCATGCCTAGGAAATGGGCAAACCATCCGCGCTCAACCCAGCTTCCTAGTACATGTTTTCTAAGGCTTTCCCAAAAAAATCTGTGTCTGGATTTTTAACCTAGAGTTTGCTGGAGAAGTGGAATCATGTGCACCTCCAGAGTTAAGGTGAACAGAGAGTTGACAGAGGAGTTAACCTTCTGGGGACAAAATATGCAGAGAATAGAGCTCAGGAGGCAGGTTCTATCTTGGCCAGTCTTATGGTTAGAAAGTTACTGTCCACGTTTTCCTGTTCTGCTCTAGCCTCCTCTCCTTTTCTCTTCTCATCTCCCTTTCTCCTTTGGGGCTAGGGATCCGACCCAGGAATTTGTTCATGCTGAGCACACATGCTTACCACTGAGCCACTCCCCCAACCCTGTCTCTCTCTCTTCATGAGAAGTCTGGAGCATGTGTATTAAGTCTTGGCACATGGTGTTTAAAATTATTTAAATCTACACATTACCAGCATAAAATAAATGATATTTACACTGATCTTTATTGGAATGTCACTAAAAAGTGACATGATTTGCATTGTGGTAAACTTTAGTATAATACAGTGATACATATATCACAGTATAGTACATATATATATTTAAAAAAATTTTTTTTTGTTCTGGGGATCGAACTTGGGACCTTGCACTTGCAAAGCAGGTGGCGGAACCATTGAGCTAAATCTCCGGCCCCACAGTACAGTATTATTAAGTGAAACATTAATTAAGGCCATCCATCTGTTTAAATCTTTCACTTATTAACTCACTTTCTTTTTCAATGCTGGGGTTTGAACAGTGTGCCTCAGGTACGTCAGGAAAATGCTCTACATTGAGCTGCACCCCAGACAACTCAGCATTCTTTCATGTCTGTCCCCATGCTAGGTGCTTCCGGAAGGAGTAAGGTAATATCTGTCCTCTAGGGCCTTTCCACCTAGTGGGATGGAAGAATATAAACATCTTACTGCAACCTATGGAGGCAAATGATTTAATAAAAGTGTGCAAAAGCTACTCTGAGAACAACAAAGGACAACCAAGTAAAAGCATATGTTTTTAGACCAGAGTTGGCAAAAATCAAAAGTCTTTAGGACCTTGATTCTGAAAATGAGTTAAGTAGGACACACATCAGATTTTGTGGGGCTCGCTGGGGCCTTGGCTGAACAGAGGATCACAGTCCTATTAGGTGGAAGCTGTTGCTTGGCTCCAGCTGAGGAAGGGGGTGTCCAACATTTCCCAAACTAACTTTTTAGGGAAACAGATCTGTATGCCCAATGTCTTGACTTTTGAATGTTAGCAACTCTATGTGTTTAACAAATATTTTCTTTAAACACCATAAAGTCCAAATAAAACAAATTGGGGAGCATCCCTGGACCACTTTTTTGATTTATATATACAAACTAAACTTTCTATTGTAATGTGTTCAACTGCCATTTCTGGGACAGTTTCGTATCCTGATTTTATCGAAGAGAATCCCAAGTCATGGAGATGTTAAGCAACTTGCCACTGGCCATCCAGACTCTAAGGGAATCCGGGAGAATGCTTTTCTTGACACCAAAGAAACACTGTGCAGACCTAAAGAGCAAAAACGTCCCCCACTGGGTGGAAAGCAGCGATGGGGTAATTTGTTGTTAATGTCTCTTAATGTTCTTCGGTTACTTTCCCAGGTGAGACAGGAGAAAAGGTGGAAAGAGAGATGGAGAATGAGAATGTAAATGAAGAGGCTGAAACAAAAGAAGAAGAAACAGGAGAAGCTGTGGATCTTTCAGCAGCCACACAGATAGGGATGGTGACAGATGGGTGAACAGACACAGCATGGTACGAGAGAGAAGAGAAAGAAAAAATCCACTTGTAGATCTTATCTGTCTACAGTGACATGTTTTATACAGGGACTGTTGGAGCCATGTTTTTGAATGTATTTTTCTATAACACTGCTAAGCTGGAAAGTTTTCCTAGCTACTTAAGATAATTATACATTTAAAGTTACAATAGCCAGAGCCAGTGAAAACTAGGATATGTGATCATTTATGAAGGTGAAGGAGACTTCAGTCATTGTAAACAATGGGTCCTTTTGGGATAAAAAGTGAAGCGCTGAAAAGAAGCATAAACCTATAGGCACAGGTGGCTGGAGAAAGGAGTTCGCACATTTTAATGAGGTCATCATAATAGTTACGCAGTATAATTGCAATGGAACAAGAATAACATCAAAAACCATGGGATGAATTACACTTCGTATTTCTGTCCTATCATAGGAATTAGAGCAGGTAGGAACCTTAGAAAGTATATCATTTAGTTTTCTTCTTAAGTCTACCTGCTGCCCCAGACCCTGTGCATCAGGGCATATTAAATATGTTGACAAAACTCCTTCCAAAGGAATGCAAACTCTGGTGCTGTTGCAAGGCTAAGCATTTCTCGCAATGAAAGGCTCATTTCCCAGGTGCCATTTTGAACCGGCTGTTCATGTGCTCTTGTGAGAGGTTCAGCTGGTGCTATGCTCTTTGCTAACATGAAAAGCATTTGGAACTAATTGACTTTGACATATTTCAGAGGCAACAAATAGCAAGAAGTAAATCCGAGATTTTTTTTGCCTATGTGGAGCCTTCCTGGGCCCTATTCTCTTTTTGGTACCCAGGGAATGAACTCAGGACATTGTGCTTGCAAGGCAGGTTTGGTGCAGCTGAGCTAAATCTCTGGCTCCTTAACTAGACTTTTAAAATTTAGATTCTACACTAAAATGACTTATAATTAATCAAAGGATTATAGGATATAGAAAGAGTATATCATCTTTGTTCTGCTTTAACATTACTTTATGCCTTTGTTGGCTTTAAAGTGTCGGGTAGACAACACAGGAGGTCCTAGAGCTGGGCTTGGTGGTGCATGCCTGTAATCCCAGCACTCAAGAGGCTGAAGCAGGAGTTCAAGGCCAGCTGGGATAAATAATGAAATCAGTAGAACCAGCGATTTAGCTCAGTGGTGCTGCACCTGCCTCACAAGTGCAAGGTCCTGAGTTTGACCCCCAGTAACAAAAAATGAAAATAAATTAAAAAAAGGAAATGAGGTCAAGGCCAGCCTGAATGACATACCAAAACCTTGTCTAAAAAAACCCCCCAAAACCAAAACCAAAATCCCTTCAAACAAAAGGAGTTCCTTCAGTAGATGACATCATCTTATTTGTAAAATAGTCGAATCATGATTTCATTGAAAATGAGCACTGTTTTATGAATCTTTGAATTTAAGCACCTACGGCCTTTAAAGGAATGTGACAGATGCTCTGGACATGCGTTGGATTAATCAGTCATACCACAGGTTCACTAAGAAATGATATATTTAAAATATGAATTGCTGGGCGTGGTGGCACACGCCTGTAATCTCAGCACTCAGGAAGCTGAGGCAGGAGGATCGCTGTGAGTTCGAGACCATCCAGGGCTACATAGGGAGTTCCAGGTCAGTCTCAACTACATAGTGAGACCCTGTCTCAAAACACCTAAAAAATAAAAAATAAAATATGAATTTACATAACATTGACCCAGACCTATCTGGGGAACTGGGGAAAGTCCATTTTTATGTCGAGACTACTCAAACTCAGTGAATAGCTTTATGTGTGGTGTAATTAAAAATAACAGCAGTATTTTTAGGTTAGAAAGTTATTTTTTTTAAGTCTAAAAGTTTTTTTCTGACCAGAAGAAAGTTACTAGATACAGTATATAGTGATTATAAAATATCAAGGCAGAGAGGCAAGTGAGTGATGAATACATTAATTAGTTGGATCTACTCATTTCAGAATGCATACAAACATCAATATATCATACTGTGTCTCATAAATGTCTAGTTATTTTTTATCAAGTAAAAATAAAATAAAATTTGGAAAAAGACACATTAGGGCTTGTATAAAATATGAATGATCACACTCATTAAAGAAACTGTCCTTCATACCAAGCACTGAAATAGGATTGGATTAATAGGCATAAAGGCCCATTCTCTTATGGGTGGCTTATCTTTTTAAAAGCAATCTCTGACATAGGTTCAAGAGATCTATTTAGAACTCATTCTTGAAAGAAGTCTTTCTCAAAAAGCATTATCTATTTTCAATATAAAAAATTTCCAGGGCATGGTGGTGCATGCCTGTAATCTTAGCACATGGGAAGCTGAGGCAGGAGGATCCCTGAAAGTTTAAGGCCAGCCTTGGCTATATAGTAAGTTCAAGGTCATACTGAACTATGTAGTGAGGACCTGTCTCAAAAGACAAAAAAACATTTCCAAATTGTTTATTTTTCTTTTGGTACTGTCCAAATTGTTTATTAATCCCATTGTTTTCCATTAATGAATGAAATCTCAAAAATTTGGAAATTTGCGTACATTTTGGTACTTTCTATACTGTGTTTAGCCTTTCACGTGGCTACTAAGACATTTATAGGGTTAAAAAAATTCTTTTAGATAAAAACTATGGCCATTTTGTAGACTCGTTTATGTCTGATTGAGATGATTATTTTCTATACTTAATTAGGAGGGGAATGGTAACCAATGATTTCCTACTAGCACCACCTGTAGGGAATGACTATTTTGCCAGTTGCAAATTTAAGAAATACCCAGATCAGATCCCAAAACTCTTGGCTGAAAGCGCCCCTACCCCTAGAAAGTATAGAAGTTAGGGGCTGACCTGTGATTTTACTGCTTTTTCCCTTTTGATTTTGGAATAAGAACTCCTAGGAAAGTTCATAGCTTTTGAGAAAAAGCAAAACAAAGATTTGTTTCAAACTTGGCTTTGAACTGAGAATTGGAAAAAAGAAAATGTGTTTTCCACGTTTAACTGTTCAGGAAATGTTGGATGATTGTGGTCAAATAACTCTACTAGGGTTTACATTTGTGCTCTTTTGCCTCATTGAGTAGTTTGTTAGGGATTACCAGCTTCCTGATTTATAAATACAACTGGTGCTCCCAGCACCTTGCTAGAAAGTCACAGGTTCAAGGTAACCATCCCAACCATCACCACACACCTATCAGTTCAGTGAGAGAACAATTAGTAGATTTCAAGTAGTTATTCAACAAATCTGCATGGATTACTTTCAAGTTTCCTGGATATAAATGTTATTAAAAACTATTTTTTGGGCTAGGGATTTAGCTCAGTGGCACCATACCTGCCTTGCAAGTGCAAGGTCCCAAATTCAATCCCTGGTACCAAAAAAAACAAAAACAAAAAACTATCTTTTGGTCTGGGGATTTAGCTCACTGGTGGTGCCTTGAAAGTGCAAAGGTACTGAGTTCGATCCCTTGTACCCCCCAAACAAATAAATACATAAATAAAACTTTTTAACGATGCTAGGGATTGAACCCAGGGCCTTTGCACTGAGCTTCATCTCCAGCCTTTTTATTTTTTTATTTTAAGACAGGGTCTTGGTAAGTCCCTAAGATGCCCAGGCTGTGTTTGAACTTGGTGGTCCTTCTGCCTCAGCAAAAACTGTTTGTTTGGTAAAAATAACTTTTTAGTCTTGGGTCTTGCATGGGACACAAAATGGTCATTTAGATAGTAACTGCAAGGAGAGATTTATTAAAATAATTTTTTTCCTTTCTTAGTAACAAATGAATACATGTTCATTGTAATTTTTTTTTTCCTTTGGTACTGGGGATTGAACTCAGGACCTTGTGCTTTCAAGGCAGCTGCAGTGTCACTGAGCTAAATTCCCAGCCCCTTTCATTGTAGAAACTTTAGAAAATATAAAAGATGGAATCATAACTCAATAAAAATCATCACTGTTAGCATGTTGATTTCATGAAGGATTATTATTTTTTTATTTGCAAAACTTGTAATAACTTAGCCAAAACACAAGGATTAATGGATGTTAAGACTTTTGAGGGCCCGAGCACTGAACCCATTGGATAACAGGTCAGAGAGAAGGTTCCAGCAGTACTTGCTGAATTCGTGAATATTGATTAGACTACAGAAAGACCAACTGTGCCTTACGTGTATTAGCACTTAGCTGATTATGATTTATAACTTAAGGAACAGTTCACTTACAAATGGTTTTTAGTAATTTGCTATTGCTGAACGAATGGTAGAAGTGAGAGAAGATTGTAAGTCCTGTTGAGGGCAGGAAAGGTCATTTTTTTCTGCAGGGCCTTGCATAAACTTGGCTTTCTTGGAATATTTGTTGCTGACAAATGTTCTCTATTCTTATTATATAATCATGGTAGTTTCCTTATAACTAAGTATAATTGGCTGTAGGGGGAATTATGGCCAAAGTTTTTATAAAATTGTTTTCTACTATTGGCTCGACATTTATAATTTTGATTGATAGATATTAGAATAAAGTGTTTGAAAGCACATCTTGGTGTTGTGGTTTGTATTTAGATGTCTTCCCAAAGCCTCATGCTGTCACAGGTAGGGCTTTTTGGAAATGGCTGAATCTAGGGTGTGTGAATGTGGATTAAGGGTGGGTGGTACTAAATTAGTCCACTGGTTGGAAATAGCGTAGTGCTGGGGGTGGCTGAATGGATTTACTGAAAATAGAAGCCCGACCCTGGATGTGGGTGGCATTGGCCAAAAGGATTATAGCCTTGATGGAATAAAAGGAAAAGGGAGATTTACTGCTGCTGCTTGTTACCTTCTGCCTACCCTGCTGTGAACTGTTTCTCCTCTGTCTTCCCCTCTGCCATGTGCCCTGCCTTGGAGCCAGTCGACTATGACTGAAACCTCTACAACCTGTGAGGGGAAATAAACCTTTCCTCCTGTAACTTTAGGTGTTGGGTATTTTGTCTCAGCAATGAGAAAAATAACTAGGATACCTAGTGTATTTACCTAAACCGTTATTATAGAAACATGTAAGATTTATGATCCATGTGTCCTTTGGGGAAAGAAAAAGCAAACTTTATACTCTGTCAAAGGTAAGGAATACAACAGTAAGGAAATATGGGAGATTTTTCTAGGTATCTCTTATTTCAAAGAGATTGTTGTATCTGTAAACATGTTTGAAATATGTAGTGCTTCATATTTTAACAAGTGATTGTCCTTTGTGCAGAAAGAAGACTCAGAATTCTGACCCAGACACTAACAAGTCAGTTAACTTGGGCACTGAAGAAAATATCAAACAATTCTGAATGTTCCTGAAATTCAACCAGTTTAAACATTTCCCTCCTGCAAAATACCTAGTCCAAGCTGGGCATGGTGGCATATGTCTGTAATCCCAAAACTCTGGGAGACTGAAGCAGGAGGATCACAAGTTAAATCCAGCCTGGGAAATTTAGTAAGACCCTGTCTCAAAATAAGAAAGGGCTGGAGATGTACATCTGGGTTCAGTTCTCAGTATAGTAAAAAAACAAACCAACTTCCTCCCCCAAACCCTGCTCAACTTTTTCAAGCATTCAAGGACAGATGTTTGTAGCCATAAACTTTTCTAGAAGAGAAAAGCCAATCTCTCAGATGAACATAAGAATAAATATCCTAAACCAAGTATTACCAGCCTGAATCTAAGAATGCATAAAATATATAACACAAATGTGCGCATATTTATAAATAAACATATACTGACCAGTTGGAACACAAGAGTTGGTTCTCCCTTATAAAATCATTGCATTTTACCATATGACATTTACCACAGTTAAAAAATGTTCAATAAATCTCAAAAAACATTCTTAACTTCACTATGATCTCAGGGAGGCCTATCCCGCACTGAGCTTATAATCTTCCTTACTCTGGCCAGTAATCCTCATTCCCCATGTTTTTTTCCTACAGCTGCTGTCAGTCAACACAGTATGCATGTGTGATGTCATGGTAGCACTGTTGTGATCTAATTTTTTTTTTTGAGACAGGGTCTTGCTATGTAGTTCAGGTTAGCCTTGAACTCACTAAGTATCCCAGGCTAGCCTCGAACTCGTGGAGATCCTCCTGCAATAGTCACCCAAGTACTGGGGTTATAGGCGTGTACTACCACGCCTGGCTGTGGCGATATAATTTGGAGAACAGTGAATTGGAGGAATGGGGAAGTCACCTAAGTTATAGCCACACAAAAGAAAATTCCACAGTAGTTTTAAACATGAGGTCAATCCCTCACACTCTCTCTCTCTCTCTCTCTCTCTCTC